GAGAGAGAGAGAGAGAGAGAGAGAGAGAGAGAGAGAGAGAAATGAACAGGTTCATACTGTCTATGACGATGGGGAGAGGGGGTGGGTTCCGGAGCCCATACACAGATGGGGCACAGGACCTGAATTTGCCTGTCAAGAAAGAGTGATATCTGAGCAGAGACTTAAAAGGTGAATAGAAGGAGTTAGCTAAGTTGGGTGCTGAGGAATGATGAAATCCCATGCCCTTAGGTCTGTGTGCTTGGCTGACCATCACTTGCTGAGACCCAGGCCACCTACATTGTGGGCACATTGTCAGTTGCAGTTCCATGACTGCCGCTGCTTTAATATGCTCTACTTCCACAGGTCCTTCCAAGACCCAGTTGACACTGACACCTCCTCCAAGACTAACCAGGTCCCCACGCCTACCTTAATGCCCTTGGTGGGTCTCATGTCCTGTGCTTGCAGGATCTCAGCACTCTGGTACTTCACTATAATTATATGTTCACTCATCTGTCTCCTTCACAAAATGGGAATCTGGGAAGGTCAGGCCACTCTCATTCATCCCGGTGTCCCCTTTGCCTAGCTGGCCAGACATATTGTTGGTATTTAATACATACACATAATTAAAAGAGCCCCCCATGTAGAGCAGGTCAGGAAAAAAAAAATAAAGGGCTTGTTTGCGAGTGCAAAATGGTAGGACTAGGGACTGGTCTGAGGCTCAGGAAGCTGTCTCGCTGCAGGTGGGATCCCGTTCCTAAGGGAGGTTCTGAAATGGCGGTTTTAAAAACCCTAAATCGAGGCCCTCTGTCTGGAGGGATCAGGAGGCTGGGAGTTGGATGGAGAACTTCTTGGGTCTTGCCCTAAGGATTGACGAGTCTCTGTAAGCGACCCTCATACCTGGGCAGTGGGAGTGGGCAGAATCCACGTCTCTCTTCTCTTCTCTCCGCCCCCACCCATCCCTGTCACTCCGGAGCCTTAGCGCTCCCCTTTCCACCAGAGGTTTCCAGCTGTTGATGCCAGGATGGACCTGGCTGCAGGGAGGAGGAGGGAACTCTCTGTCCCTCCCTCCTCCTCCGTCTCCCCACCCTTCCTCCCTCCTCCTCCCCCGGCCCGCTCTCTGTCTCCCTCCTTCTTTCTCCTCCGAAGCTGTGGAGTCGCCTCGCAGCCTCCAGCCGCGAGCGCCCGGCTCCCAGTCCCGGCTTGGAACTGAAGTGTGTGAGTGCGGGTCCTGGCACCCGCCCCCCGAGCGGCGGACCGGGTCTGAGGCTGGGCGCAGCGGTCAGCCGAGGAGGCCCCGTTCGGGATCGAGCCGGCGCGCGGGGACCGAGCCGGAGAGCTCGGCGGCGGCGGGCGGGCGCCGCGTCCGGGCGAATCCAGGGCAGGACCGCGGAAGGCAGGGAGACGGCCGCAGCAGAGGGCAGAGGGCAGAGGGCGGAGGGCGGAGAGCGGCCTGGCTCGCGGAGGGCGCCGCCCCGCCGGAACCGAGCTTTCTGCCCGAGACTGCGGCCGGTCGCTGGGCGCGCACCCCGGCGGACCCGAGTCCGGAGCGAGTCCGCGGCCAACAGCGGGGGGCGTGCCCCTCCCAGCCCCGCGCCCTGCCCGCGCCGGAGCGCTGCGTGGCCGGGGCATGTGAGCGGGAAGCCGGGGCCGCCAGCGCCAGGACGGCAGGAGGAGCAGTAGGAGCAGTAGGAGCGCGGAGTCGCGAGTCCAGAACCCGGCGCCCGGCTGAGTAGTAAGTGCGCCCCTCCGCGCCCCCTCCCCGCCTTTGGAAGTTTGACACTCGCGCCCCCACGGTTTTGGGCACACGGCGGCTCTCATTTTTTGCTAGTTTCCATCCTTTACAAAGTTTTTCCGAGGGAGGACGAACCCCCCCACCTGACCCTAGCAACCCCGGCTGGTGGGGGCTCCTCGCGGGCAGACAGGGACCTTGTGGAGAGGGTTAGACGCCTGGTGAGGCCGTGGGTGTCTGTGCCTGTGCACACCGAGCGAGCCGAGCTGGCGGGGGTGGGATGGGGGGGGGAGCACGCCCGCTCCTGGCAGAGCTGCACCAGGTCTTTCACACCAGCTTGTCCATGCGCCCAATTCAAGGATTTCCCAGCGGGAGGCCGAGGCGACCTGTGCGTGCCCCAAGTGGGGCTCGGGTGCCGGCTCGGAGAAGCAGATCTCTTCCCCGCCCCGCCCTGGTGTGTGGGGTGCGGGGCTCCAGCCGCGCCACCCTTCCCACCCTTCCAGGTCCGTTCCTCAGCCGACCAGCCGGGCGCTGCATCCTGTTTGTTTTCTGCTCCGGCTGCTCCCGTCTCACCCCCGTCCACCTCCCACCTAGCCTTCTTCTTACCACCCCCACCTCCCGCCGTGGGTTGTCGGAGGTGAACCTTTTCATCCCGATTTCACCTCAAAAGCAAATCGTGCCTGCGGGTAGGGGAGGGGGGCTAGTCGCTCTGTTCCCAGCGGCTCGCCATTGTTTTCCCACTCCGCGCGTTCCATACGTAAACACACACACGCACACACACACTCACACACTCACTCCGCGCGTTCCTACGTGTAACACACACACACACACACGCACACACACACACGCTCGCGTGCGCGCGCGCGCGCGTTCGCGCCTGCTGCTTCGAATCCCAAGAAGCTCAGGGATCGCCCTCGGGGTCTCCCAGCTGCCCGGCTGGATCTTGCAGCTGGAGCTGCTTCATTACTTGATCAGCTCCACTGGAGCTAGAGGGTGGGGTGCAGGGATTTGGGGGTGGCTCTAGAGTCTCGGGCGGGGCTGCGAGCAGTGCCTGGGCGGGAGGGAAGTGAATTTTGAACTTCAGCCCTGGACCTTTCCGGGAGGACCCCAGCGCACGAGCGGCGGCTCCCCCCTGGAGGCCGGACGGCAGCTGCAAGGACTCTAGTGGCGCTCTTGGCAGCCGCCTCTGGGACAGGGGCTAGGAGGACGCCGGGGAGTTTTCCTGGGAAGTTTGCTTTGACTCTGTGGGAATTTCCGGGCAGGGCGCCTCGGCGCTGGCGAAGGGGTCTGGCGGGGTCTGGCGTAAGACAGCGAGGGAAGATGCTGCTGTTCTGGGAGGAGTTTCCAGGGACCCTGATTTACACTGGGCTCCCTTAGGAAGTGGAGCTCCAGATGGCTGGGATTTAACACATTTTGGTCCTAATTCCCCGCCTATGGGCAACGTGGGCTCGGTCAAGTCTTAGCTTTTCTAGATTTTCCCTTATGCAAAATGGGCAGTTATGCACACATCTTTGAAATTGATATCTAATGATTTTAACCAAGGATAGTGGTTTGGAAGGCACAAACTCCAGGAGCGTAGGGAGCTCCCCCTCCCCCACCAACTGGGCCACTGAAAGCCAAGTATAGCTTATTGGTTAAGAGCCAAGGCTCTGGAATTGGACCCTAGGTACTCACTGACGACATGATCTTAAGCAATTTAACCTTACTGCTCTATGCCTCACTTTGCTCATCTATAAAGTGGATTTCATGTGAACAGTACCTACCTTATGGGGTTGTTCTTGGATATTAAAAAGTCTTAATAAAGTAAAGCTTATAGAACAGTACCTGGCATATAGGAAGTGCTGGGGAAATGTTAGCTGTTCTTGTCATTATTACTACTCTGACCTTGTACAGAGCCCAGAAGAGCACTTTGGGATTGTTGCTCATTGAATCGATTATAATAATTGTCCACTTCTGGGAAGGAAAAAACCTCACACGTCCACCCTTTTGTGATTTTTGGCTGCTCACATTCTCCCTACTCCTTGTCTAGTTCCACCTTGTTGAGTCTTTTAACTTTTCTTCCTCTCCCCTTCCTTTCTCACTCTCTTCCTTTACAATTTTAGTGAAAGGCGCTTCATTCCCTCCTTAAAAAAAAAAAAGTCAATCTTGACCCAACTGCAGTGTTCTCAGTGGAAATCAGGCCCCAGAAAGGAAGTGCCTCCACAGGGTGTCCCCTGAGTACTCGGCCTGAGCTGCTGGCTCAGGATTGGATGTGCATTTGTGTCTCTGGGGCTGGGTGCATTTCCGGAGAGGAGCCCAGGTGTCTGGGGCCCAGGGGAAGAGTCAGGTGGGATGGGCTGGGGCTGTTCCTGGGGGAGTGGCAATGTCTGTGTTGCCTGCTGCTGGGACTCACTTGGGAACTTGGAATATCCCAGTTGCCTGGGCAGAATGGATGTGGGATTTTGGGTACCCGAAGGGCCACAGTTTCACTTGCAACTTTCCACTTGCATATAGAGTATTTTCTAGAAATTTGGGTTTGTCACAAGCGCCTTGTCTGATTCTGCACATGAGCGGCTTCTGCGAGGGTGGAGCTGGGCGCCAAGGAAGAGCAGGCTGCTTGCTGGCCACCCACGCTGCCTTGGACAATGGGCTTCTCTCTCTCCTTTCTCTTACTCTGTAACCCCCACCCCAGGCATTGGGGAGGATGGCCAGGAGATTGGTTCTGGTGCTTGGAGATCCTGTAAGTGGGCGTTTGGTGATGAGAACCAGCCAGTGCTGTCACCCCCATTCATTCCTTTAACAGAAATTTGTTGAACACCTATTATGTGCCAGAAGGCTTCAGGGATGAATAAGACAGGTAGTGAGTGTGCCTGTCTTCAGGGAGCCTTCTTTCTAGTGGGAGGAGACAGGAAATGCGGAACTTGAGATAAGTAACCAAGACAATGTTGGTGATTCTTCCTTTGTGATGTGAAAGAAATACAACAGGGTGATATGAAAGAGAACTTACTGCATGGTGGGGGGCGGCTAGATTGGGAGGCCAGTGAAAGCCGCCCTGGGGAGGGGACAGCTCAGTGAGGCCTGAAGGATGAGAACCAGGCGCATCACAAAGACCTGAAAAAGTCCAGCAAATGAAAAATCCCTGAGGCCAGAACGGTTTGCAACGGTTGGTCACAGGGACCTGGTAGGACTGACTGGTTAGGAGCCTAGATTGTATGGCCAGGGTGACGGGAAGCCATTGGAGAGTTTTAAGTAGGGGAGTGACATGATCTAATTTCTGGTTTTAAGATATTATTTGAAAAAACAAAAAAGATTATTTGATACATAATAAGTGATAATCAGAATTGCCCCAGGGGAAGGAAACGTTGGCTGAGAGATGGGTGGAAGAAAGATGGTGCTTTCATTGTAGACACTTTTGTCCTTTCTGGCTATAGTACCATGTACATGTATCAACTATAACAAAAAAAACAAACCCAAACAAGAAGCATATTAAAAAAGAATAGATTATAACCTGGAAACTATATAATAAAAAGTGTAAGATATGATGTTAAGCTGTATAATATAGTACCAATTTTGTAAAGCTAATTATATGCACATTGTGCATGCGTAGCAAGAAGACTAGAAGGCTGCCTTGAAATGTTTGCAGAGGTTAATTCTAGATACTGGACATACTGTGATTTTTACTTCCTTCTATGCCTTCTGTTTATTTTTCCAATCTTTTACAGTGGTCCTGAACTACTTTTATAAGTGGAAAAAAAAATGTAGAAAAGAGGATAGCTTGAAGGAGAGCAAGGATCGAAGCAGAGAGGCCAGCTAGGAGGCGGATTCGGAATTAAGATGATGCATTAGGGTGAGCCAGCAGGAGATTGTTCTGGAGGTAGAGCCAACAGGCCTCAGTAACACACCGCACTGCCTGATAGAGTCTCTGGTCTTGCCTAGAGAGGGCATTTACCCCAACTCAGATTTTGTGATCAGGAGCGTGGGGATCAGGGATGGTGAAAGGACCATTTCCAACGCTGGCTTGGCTTTGGAAATGTCTCGGGTTCCAGCTACAGCCTTATCCTCATCTTTTCTCCTAGTAGATGCAGTGGTGGTGGTGGTGGTGGTGGGGGCATCCTAAGCATTTTGCTACTTTTATAATTAACAGATTCAGGGCAAGGGGATGTGTAAAGCCAGATGGATTTAGAGCCGGTGGGGGTGGATTCTGTTTTCCCATCTGTGAAATGGGACAATAACAGTGACAATCCCTGCCTTTTAGAACATGGGAGTCTCAGGTCTGATCATGTCTACAGCAGGGGGTCCATGAATGATAAGGGTTTGGAGTTTGCTGTTGCCAGACTTTGCCTGGGCAACTCTTGATTCTACAAACATTTTCTCCTCTCTGGAGGTTCTTTGAGATTGGCCCTTATATGGGCAGCTCCCTGAAGACTCCCTAGGAAGCTGAAGCCGGCTGAAGCTGATGCTTCTGGAAAAAGTGGAATTCAAATAAAGCTATGCCCCTGTGCCCCTCCCCCAGCTACTTTCAGGGGTGAAGCTGAGTGTTTGCAAAGGGCTCTGTGCTGGGAAGGCCCCGCCAGGTCCACAGTAAAACGTGCTTTGAATGGGAATTATTTTTGTGCTCAGTGTTTGCTTAAGAGGCTCACTCCTGCCTGAACTCGCTGTGATCCTCACCCTCTGCTGGTCCCCTTCCTGGAACTGGGATGTGTTAGCCAGGAAGGCTGTCACAGTGCCTATCATCAGGCGGGGGGACCGGGCCCATGAGGATCACTTTCACGGCTCCCAAGCAGGAAGACATGTCCTGGGGGGGCGCCTTTGCCTGGGTGACCTCATTTTGATTGCCCCTTCCTTGGTCCTCCTTCCAGCTCCTTGGAAAGACTTGATTGGGAGATTTGCAGCAGGGTCCCCTTCAAACCCCTGCCAACTCCTCTGGTCAGGGGGTGATGCTGTTTCTTTTAAAAATTCAAATACTTTTCTCTGAGCAGCAGTGATGTGGTAGTTCCCTCCTAAGTGGGGTAGAGCGTGCAGTT